CTATACGGTGGGTGGGAGAAAAAGGGACTTTCATGTACCACTTTATTAATGTTTATCTTCTTCGTCTTTTTCTTCCATTTATTTCTCAATGGGGCATTGACCCTGAACCAACACACGTCAAGCAAAACCAGACTTGGTCATGAGCGCCACAAGGAAATGCTTGGGGAACTCATCCCCTTAAAATTTCAAAGTGGCGGGGAGTAATACGTGAGCAATAACAATAATAACAATAATACTCCTCTTTTTCTTCAGCATTCTGCGCCTTTGAGGTTATTGCTGCAGACATCACCCGCCTTCATTCATCTCTCTGGTTGGCCTTCTTCAGCATTCCGAACCCTTGAGTTTCATTGCTGTAGACATCACCCGCTTCCATTCATCTCTCTCGTTGGCATTCTTCAGCATTCCGAACCCTTGAGTTTCATTGCTGTAGACATCACCCGCTTCCATTCATCTCTCTCGTTGGCATTCTTCAGCATTACGAACCCTTGAGGTTCATTGCTGCAGACATCACCCGCCTTCATTCATCTCTCTGGTTGGCCTTCTTCAGCATTACGAACCCTTGAGGTTCATTGCTGCAGACATCACCCGCCTCCACTCATCTCTATGGCTGGCCTTCTTCAGCATTCCAAACCCTTGAGGTTCATTGCTGCAGACATCACCCGCCTCCATTCATCTCTCTGGTTGGCCTTCTTCAGCATTCCGAACCCTTGAGGTTCATTGCTGATATCACTCACCTCCATTCATCTCTCTGGTTGGCCTTCTTTTCCAGTTGGTATCATCAAGTGTTTGTATGTCTGTTTGGATATTTTCTCTTAGTCGTATTCTTGGTCTGCTCGTGGTCTACGACCATACATGTCCTTCGTGTATACAGTTTTTACCTCTCTGTCATGTGACATTATTTCAATATGCCCCAACCATTTCAGTCTATTAGCTCTCATGATATCAGTGACCAATGGTAATTTAAACAGATTATGAATTTCGTTGTTGCTTTTCCCTCTCCATTCCCCGCTGTTTGCATCTTTGATGAGTCCAAAGATTCGTCGCAAGTAATTTGTAAAAAGTCTTCATTTTTTGTTTCTTTACATTTCAGAGCCATATAAAACGACTGGTCTTATAACATTTTATATATTTTGATCTTGATGTTGTTGCGAAATAGAGACTTTGACTTTAGCAGATGTTGAAGGGCATAGTATACTTTATTTGCAGATTGTATTCTAGATTGCATTTATTCTCTCAGCATGTTGGAGCAGTTGAAGTTTGCACCCAAGTACTTATATGTTTCCGTTCGTTTGATTTTCATATTATCGACTTCTATATGGCCCGAGTTTATAGCCTTTCCCTCTTGTTATTATCTTGTATTCTGTCTTATCTTGACTGATAACTAGTCCCATTTTGTGAGCTGCTTCTTTTAAGAGAATCTGTGTTTTTTACAGTCTCTAGTTCATTTTCTCCAACAATATCAATGTCATCTGCATAACTATATATGCTTTTAATTTCTCCCACAGCACACTCGTGTTTCAATTTCCTTATAGTTTTCTCCAGGGCCAAGTGGAAAAAAAGTGGGGACAGAGAGAGCATAATCTTTGTTGTTGGAAAAGAGTCTGACTTTCTGCCTGTTTATGATTATTATAAGTGTCTTCCATACAGAGCTAGGTCATGGTGATGAGCTTCTTTGGTGTTTCAAAGTCCTTCATAGCCTTCCATAAACTGTTTCTATGTACACAATCTTATGCCTTTTAAAATCCACAAAAACATTATGTACATCTTTTCTATATTCCCAATTTTGCTCTGCTATTTGACCCTAAAATGTATATCTGATTTATTGTTGATCAGTTTTATCAGAAACCCGCTTGATAATCTCCCAATATGTCTTCGACGTAAGGTTTTAGCCTGTTTAGCAGTACCGTTGATAGTATCTTACAGTTTGTAGATAATAATGATGTTAACCTATAATTTTCACATTTATTCTTGTCTCCTTTCTTAAAAATGGGTTTTAATAAAGATACTTTCCACTCATGGTGTGATTTCTCCGTCCTCCAAGTTAATTTTCTTAATTCATCTATCTTTACATGCATGACCACCTTCTTTAAAAAGTTCAGCTGCAATTCCATCAGCACCAGTTGCTTTATTTTTTTAAGGAGTGTTATGATATACACTACTTCTTTAAAACAGGCTCTTCGGTATTTGATACATATGTTAGTATCTCTTCCTGTGGATAAGTATTTAGTGGAGTTTTCCAATTGAACAATTTCAGCAGAGTTTTCCTTCCAACTGTAACATATCTCCTCATTAATTTTTTTCATGTTCCCTTTGTTATCTTTGAAACTATATATTCTATGCAGATGCCCTCGTTTTACAGCCTTCGGTTCTTAAACAACTTTCTAGATTCGTTGTTTTGATGGTTAGCTTCCATATCCACGACAATGTTACTCATTTATTCTCGCTGTTGCTGTCTAACTACTTTTGTAGCTCCTTTACATTCGGTTCTATATTGGGACTGGTTATTGGCTGTCGAACTGCCTAGTTTCGAGAGGTACCCAGTGTTTATCCTGAAGACCGACCAGAGACTTGACAGTCCAACACTCTGCGGAGAAACGCCAGCTCATCCTCATGAGTCGCGAAAGGACGAAAATCACCTGTACAAGCTCGAAAAGTATGGGGGTCTAGTGGCCACTCTGGGGAGAGACGAAGCGTACTCAGTAAATCTTCGCCGTCGAGGTAGGCGCAAGATGTCTTATCTCCACTTCCATGTACAATGTGCTAAAGCAGCTGGGCTGGTGAGAAAACGAGCGTAAACGGTAACTTAACTCTTTGAGTCCCAAGGAACGCATCTTACGTTTAAAGGTTCCTACCTAAAAGCCAAATGAACGCATGGTGCGCTAATTTTATTACTTTTTCACTACCCCCTGGGCCAGTGATGTTAAACCCTCTGGGACTCAAAGAGTTAAACAACTGGGCTGCTGAAAGAGCTTCTAGCTGGCTCTGGACGCAACGGAACGTCGTGGGGGATAGGCTTCGGTAGACTGGTCCGAGTCCCTGAAGGGACACAGCTACTTATCCCTTAAAAGGCCAATGTGTCCGACTGATGTCTGCCAGTGTCACTCTGCCAATTGCCAAAGTAACATGTGTTGGATGAACCAACCGTGAGCTTGTCACTTGGTCGTTAAGGTAACCGACTGGTCTAATAAGCAGCCGCAGCGACAATATATATATTTAACTCCGAAACTCACAGTAACAATTGCATAGTTCCCATTATTAGTGTCCAAGAACATCCGGTAAAGTGCAGCAGGAGAATATCGAGGCCTGGGGGTCATGACCCAGGTCCGCCCGCCCTCTGAAACTGTCTAGGAGTTGATAGGCTGAAACAATTGTTGACGAGGTATCTTCTACTGATAATCGGTGGACTCCTGCTGTACCTAGTCCCCTGTGGAGTTCTTCTTATTGCATGTTGCTAGTATCATTTAGCCATATCTGCCTGGCATGTTTTCTTTTCACTGACAACTACTACTACTACTACTACTACTACTACTACTACTACTACTACTACTACTACTACTACTACTACTACTACTACTACTACTACTAATACTACTACTACTACTACTACTACTACTACTACTACTACTACTACTACTACTACTACTACTAATACTACTAATCATCATCATCATCATGTACCCTGTCAACTGGCGTAGGCGCTTATGCGACTCCACAGATCACGATCCCTTGTTGCCTGGAACAGCTCTCTTGATGATATCCCTCCATGCCATTGTTTCAGCCCATCAAGCATCATCTCTCTTGGTCTGCCTCTACCCCTTTTCCCACTGATCTTTCTAATTGTCACGATGTTCTCCAATGTCTCTCTTCTCATTATGTGGCCAAAGAACATTATTATTGTTCTTCATGTTGTATGTTGCTAGTATCATTTAGCCATATCTGCCTGGCATGTTTTCTTTTCACTGACTACTACTACTACTACTACTACTACTACTACTACTACTACTACTACTACTACTACTACTGTTACTACTACTACTACTACTACTACTAACATAAATAATAATCATGTAAAGTAATCTAAATGACACTCTTCCACAACTTTATGTATATTGTGTATATAGAGCTATGCCTACTTTAGTCGGCGGGTGATGTGGTCAACATCACACTGGCCGCCTTTACTTCCCAGGGTTTTATCCGGTATCCATGTGAGGCTGGGTTGCCCTGGGAGCCAAGATCCTTTCTGAAAAATGTCCGGGACCTGAACCCACTATCTTCGGACCCACAGGGGAGATCTAACCGCTACACCACGGTGGTTCCCATTATTACTATTATTATTATTACTATTACTATTATTACTATTACTTGTTGCGTATCCTTTACAGGACGTTGCAGAACCAATCCTAACAGCCCCTGGCTGTTGTGTGGTTTCTCTAGGCAAAATTACGTCCAGTAGTTTGCCATTGCTTCCTGGACGGTCGGCTTTCTTGATACCACTGTCGAAACCAACGAAAGGCGCATTGCCCGCAGCTGGGATCGAACCCGGCATCCCGGCATTACGAAGCGAAGTGTTCGCATCGACTTAGCCACAGAGCCGACATTACTATTATTATTATTATTACTATTACTATTACAATTATATTATTATTATTATTATTATTATTATTATTATTATTATTATTATCATTATCATTATTATTATTTTTACTACTATTATGTGATGAATGGTAAAAAAATGTTATATTATATTTGAAATAACATTAAATTTGTAAACAAAATCAATAATATTTGGAGATAAAAATATGTCATAAATAAAAAAAAAATTATAATTAAAATAACATTACATTTATAAACAAAAACTTGAAAGAAGAACTTTTGCACATTGTTGAATAGGGGAGGGGTTCAATAGGGGAGTGGTTGGGCAGGGAAAGGGGCGTGCACTTGACCTCTTGCAAATTTTCTAGAGTAGTTTCGGTACCTCTCCCCCTCCACCTTGATTGACC